GGGGCAGGCGGGCGGGGGCGTGGAGGTTTGGGCGAGGCCGGCACAGGACTGGGTGAAGGCGGTGAAGGTGGAGGACGGGGCGGCTGCGGCGGCGAAGGCGGAGGACGGGGCGGCTGCGGCGGAGGCGGCTGGTGCAGCTGGGAAGCAGCGCGGGTAGGCAGCTGCCATGGACCTCACGTGTGCCCTCATCACGTCTGCCTCCCGATACAGAGCGACGCCGCAGGTGTGGTCGACTCCAAATGTCAGGGCCTGCGACGAGAGGCAAGAAGGCAGGAAACAAAGTGGCAAGTGGGTTGCGATGTGGCGGGTGGGCAGGAACAGGCAGCAGAGGGTATGCTGCCGGTGCGCCCACAACCTTCTACGCTCACAACCTCTGGGCTCACAATGTTGGAGTAATTGCTACGCTGGTCGGCATTCAGCCAGTGGCAGTAGCTCATGATGGCGCCAGCGCGGCCGGGGTAGAAAGGGCTGGGGGAGGAGCAGTTGGGCAGCACGCCTTTCCAGCCACGTCATGTTGGCATTCCAATAACCCTCCCACTCATTACCATGGTTTCCAGGCCAGGGGTCTGTGGAGGCGCTGGGCCATAGACGCAGGTAGCCTGCCGAGCAGATGGGGGGGAGGAGGGGTGGCAAGAGACAGGCGCGGCTGGTGGATGCATGCACGCACCGTGCAGCGTGCATCAACAAGCAGGAGGCCAGCCCACCTATCAACAGTTCCGTCTGAATCTCCCGAGAATACACAACGCCGGCATCTGCACCCAAGCTCAACGGGAAGAAGCAGCAGGCATCAAGCCAGCATGCAAGCAGGCAGCCGTGCACCGAAGGAAGGAGGCATGGCAAACTTGGCATGCCTGTTGGACAGGCAGCGGGTTCCGCCCCGGCCAGAAGGCAGGGAGGCACCAGGCCAGCAGGCACCAGGGCACGCAAAGCATGCACAGCAGCCAGCCACCCCACTCACGCAGAAACAGGGCTGCCGCATAGTTGGCAGCGTCCGTGGCGTTGCCCTTGAACATGGCCAGATACTCGCCATCAGTCTCCAGAGCGATGGTGGCAATGAAAGTCTGCCCATCCGGTGCCTGCAGGCAGGAGTGCATGCAGCGGGGGCCACTGCCAGTCATGTGAGGGACAGGGCTGGCAACCCAATGCAGAGCGTGGACAGCCATTGCCCATGCTCGCCGCACCTGCTGCAGCCTGCGTGCAGTGCCTGGTGGGGTGGGGTCTTCAGTGGGCTGCTGGGCGCCTGTGTTGCCGCCTGGAAAGGGCTGGACAGCCAGGTCAGGGGGATGAACGGCGGTGGAGCGCAGCCCGCCACCGCCACCCGCTGACTTGCCCAGCGCCCAGGCCGCACGCCCGCGTGTGGCCAGCCCGCTCACGCTGCCATCCTCAAGCACCGATATCGCCACGGTGGAGGCGGGGCTGCCGTGGATGGTGCCGCGGAAGTGGCTGGCGGCAGGCACTGGCACATGCTCCCGCCCGTCGCCGCCCATCACCACGAGGGTGGCCCGCAGGCTTCACACATCCACACGCTCCAGCAGCAAAGTGCTGTGATGCGTCTGCCCCTGCAGCTGGTGGCCAGTCACTTGCAGGCGACCGCCCATGCCCACGGCATCGCCGCCGGCCCCGCCGCCGCCGTCAGCTGGGCTGGCCAGCTGTGGCGGGAGGTTGCGGGCGGCGTGCAGGCGCGGCAGGCTGGCCGCCAGGCTGGCACGCACCACCCGGCTGGCGGCGGTTCCAAATGGGCCGTGGCCATCAAACACGCCCACCACCACCGCTCCTGCCGCCGCTGCTGGCAAGCCGGCAGCGGGGCTCCCTGCTGCAACGCCTGCTGCTGTGCCTGCTGCTGCTGCCGGGCCCGCTGCTGCCTCTGCTGCATCTCCTGACACTGTCCCAACAACGCTGGCCGCTGCACCTGCTGCCGTGCCTGGCAATTGGTCAGGCGCTGCGCCATGCCGCGGCAGGGCCAGCACCAGGGCTTGGTCCTGATTGAACAGCTTCCAGGCGCCGTTCTCGTGCCCCACCAGCGACACCACCGCCACATCTGGCGGGTGGGGAGGCAAGAAGGGGGATGGAGGTGGGGGCAGGGCATTGGGTGGCTGAAGAGAGAAGCAGGCATGCCAGACTGACGCCTGCTGGCGTGCAGGGCGCTGCCCCCAGCACCTCTCTATTTCAGCATGCTCAAGCGAACACACACCGCTTCACCCCCTGCCCACAGTGCCCTCTCCCACTCGCCTGCCAGCCCCGGGAGTGCCACGCTGTGCTGGTAGTCGCTGCCAGGGACCTTGTCCCCCGCAGTCGCCGCCCAGTGCTGCAGCACCGCCGCCTGTAGCTGCTGGCGTGCGGCCATGGGGGCGCCGTATTGCTGGCTGCACTCCTGGCACTCCCCCTCTGCCTGCTCCGCTTCCCCTGGCATCTGCTGGGGGCCAGCGCTGGTGGGGGCGTGCGCCAGCAACAGTGTGCTGGCCTCACAGGAGCCGCCTCCGCCATCGCTACTGCAGCTGCCTGCGTCTGGCGCCTGCGCACGCGCCAGCAGGGAACGCAAGGTGTCGTGCTGCCGCAGCAGGCTGGGGTGCCGCCGCTGCCGCTGCTCCTGCTCTTGCTCCTGCTGCTGGGGCGGCGGCGGCGGCGGATTCTGCGGCACCTGGCGAGGCTGCTCGGGCTGCACCTGCGGCTGCTGCTGGGGCCAAAGCTGCTGGGTAGCCCTGAGCCGGTGCAGCTGGCGTCTCTGGTGGGGCGCTGTGTGGGCACGGGCTGCCCTGCGGCTGTGGCACGCATTCTGGCGGCGAGCGCTGGCGGGTTGGGCAGGCGCTGCTGTCGCAGGCACGCGCCCCGCTCCAGGGTGCCGACAGCGGGCCTGCATTATAAGAGAATGCGCAATGCGTTGGTTCCAAGCCAACGCGCGACGGTGCTTGCAGGAGGGGCAGTGTCGGAAATTGACAACTTGGATGTCGGTCTCCGCGAGTCGCTGGGATTGCCTGCCGCTCTTGAATGCCCTCGATACCAAAAAGACTGCAGAACGACCTGTGCTTTGCAAAACCATGACTCTCAGGCGTTTTCGACATGCGCGCGGCACAGCAGTTTGGGCACCCCTTCGTATGCTCCCATCACGCTGCACAGGAGGTCACTTGATGCCGAATGCAGTGTCTCAATCGGCGGTAGCTCCTGCCAAGGCTGCCAAGCGTGCAGTACAGTGCCGTGCAGCGGTTGGCGGCGCCGGTCACCTTCCAGCCACCACTTAACCACATCCCTCTCTCCTGAGCATGTTACCAAGCAGCATGCATAAATGCGCTAAACACCAACCAAGGGAACAGAAAGGAGCCTGATTCATACTAGGGCAAAGCTTGGCCATCAGGCGCGTCGGTCTGCTGCTGTCGGCGCTGGGCTGCACCGCCCGCCTCCCCGTCAGCCCCGCCATCGCCCTCCCCTCCAGCATCCCCCTCCTCCTCCTCCTCCTCCTCCTCCTCCGCGGCTGGCCTGACCTCCACGCTGGCCATTGGCGGCGGCGCATGCGTGTGGCCCCCGCCGGCACTGCTGCCGGCGGCGCCGCCGCCGCCGGGCGGCCACACCAGCCAGCCAGCGTGCTGCGGCAGCAGCACCACCAGCGTGGCGCCCAGGCCGGCAAACTCGACGGCCAGGCGCTGCACGGTGACAGGCAGCCTCTGCGGCGCCGCAGGCCGATGCTCAGGCACGTCAGGCGCGTCGGCCACGCCTAGCGGCTCCGAAGTAATCGCCTGGGGGGGCGCCCCCGCCCCCTGCCCGCCCTCCGTGCCGGCCGCCTGCGAGGTGGCCTGGCCCGCCGCGCCGCCGCAGCTAGCGGCAGCGGGCGAGCGGCCGCCGCGTTTTTGGTCGTCGCCGCCACCGCCGCCGCGCCCGCTGCCGCCGCTGCTGCCAGGGCTGCCGCCATCCCCGGCCTCCTCCTTCACTCCCAGATCCACGCCCAGGTCTGGCTGGATGACGACCGTGGGCTGCGGCCCGGCCGCCGCCCGAGCCGCCTCCTCCGCCTCTGCCGCCCGCTGCTGCGAGCGGCGCAGGCTGGCGGCGTGCCACCTGCGCGCCGCCTCCAGGTCAGCAGCCTATAGAGCACACAAGGGAGGCAAGGGCAGGCACACCAGGCTCCTTGGCGCAGCTGGGCGCAAGGGGTGGCGCCAGCACACGTGCACCGCCAGCGGGGCGGCGGCGCCGGCGGGAGGGGCGGGCCTGTTGGTCCCCCCCGCACCTCGAGTGCCGCCAGCTCCGCGCTCTGCTCCGCGACGGCCGCCAGCACGCGCTGCCGCTCCCGCCGCATGTGCCGGTGGACAAACAGGAACACTGCGGGCGTGGGCGGGCCAGGGGGGCAAGCGATGTGGGGAGGCGGCCAGGGGAGCGGGCAGGGCAGGGTGCAAGACTCGGTTGCTGCCCAGCGCTGTGCTGTGTCCGCTGCGGAGGGCCCACACGGCGGCGCCGCTGAATCCTGCACACCATGCTGTGTGATGTGGAGCCGCACCTAGGACCACGCAGAAGATGACTGCAAAGGAAATGAGCACCGTGATCACGCCGGTCTGCCAGTCGGGTGTGCCCCCGCCCCCGCCTGCCTCGCCGCCCGTGGCTGCAGGGCTGCCCGTGCCGTTGCAGGGCTGCGGCGGCTCGCAGCCGGACGCGTCGCTGTCTGCGGCGGCGCCGCGTGCGGGCAGCACCAGCAGCAGCAGCAAGAGGTGGAAGGCAGCCTGCGCGCCCGTCCCTGCCGCCGCCCGTCGGCGCCTCGCCGCTGCTCCTGCTCCCATGCCGCTGCCGCTCGCCCTGGGTGCTGCCTTCGACATCCGCGGTGCCGACCTCCACTTCCAGGACCTGGCTTGGTTCCGGGAAGACGAGCTCAGGCGGCCTGAAACCCCATTTGCAACGAACCCGGCTGGGAGGGGCTCGGCAGGCAGGGGGGCTCCAATTCGAAGTTGGATAGTGATTGGGAAAGCCTCCGCGCGAACCTTGTGGGCTTGTGGGATCAAGGCCCACGTCAGCATCCCTGCATGCAGGACAAACATCTGGCCACTCCCCTCCACAGCAACCACTCTTTACATCATCCAGACATTGCCTCACGGAAAGCAAGGGCGCCACAATGGCTACAGCCGCCTCTCTTGCGTTCTCCACTATTGCAACTCCTCCGCGGCAGCAACCGGGCACCCCTGCTCGACGCCCACGACCTGCCAGGGCCTTGCGCCTGCGATCCTCTGCCACAGCGGCCGCAGAGGTAGGCGGGAGTCGCGTGCCGCCACATGTGCCGCTCCGGCGGCGCCGCCGCCGCCATTGACGCCCGCAGCGGCCAGCTGGCTCACCAGGGGTCCCCAGATCCCGACACCTTGGCATCCCTACCTCACGCAGGCTGCCACCACCACCCGTGCCGCCGCCGTGCCGCCGCCCGTGGCGCCGGCGCTGGTGGCGGGGTCGCCGCCCGCCGGCGCCGCCTTCCCGATCCCGCCGGAGCGGCTGGTGGCGCTGGCCAAGCAGGTGCACGCCACCGACACAGGCATCGCCGACGACTCCGTGCTATCGGACGACTTCCGTTTCGAGTGAGTGGGGCGGGCAGACGGGCCAGGCTGGGGTGCCGTGGCGTGCCTGCCGTGCAGTCCCGCCGCCGTGGCCCACCACCACCCCTTGCAGCAGCGCTCGACTCCTGCCTGCCGCTGCCCCGTGCCTGCAGGTTCCCCATCATCAAGCTCTCCCGTGAGGAGTATCTCAAGACCGTCCGGGGGTTCACGTTTCGGTGAGCCGGCTGCACAGCTGCACACGCCGCTTCCTGCGCCCGCCCGTCGACCAACCGCACGCCCATCCCCACCCCGGGCTGCCACTCGCTGCGGCCTTGCCCCGACCCTCCTCTCCGTCCCCTGCCCGTGCCTGCAGCCAAGGCATCCCCAACCTCAGCAGCAACGCCTGTGAGTCGCCCTCTCGCCGTCGCGCGGGGGGCTTCGCAGCCAGGCGGGCCCGCCTGGCCTGCTGGGCACTCAGGCAGCGCTGCCGGCTCGGCATGCACATGTGCTGCCACTGAAGCACGCCCTCGCGCCAAGCCTCAGATGCTCCCCTTCTGCCTGGATCCGCCTGCAGATGACTTCCGAGTGGACCCGTACGAGAGCAACCGGGTGTGGTTCACCATCCGTACCAGCGGCACGCACACCGGCCCCTTCAGCTTTGGCAGGGCCACCTACCCTGCCACGGGGGCCACCATCCAGGGCCCGCCCGAGTGCTGCAGCTACACCTTCAACGAGGTGCGTGGGGTGTGGGTGTGGGTGTGGGTGTGGGTGTGGGTGTGGGTGTGGTGTGGTGTGGTGTGGTGTGGTGTGTGGGCGGGGCGGGGAGGCAAGGGGCCTCCTGGCGCCACGTCGCCGCCGCCGCTGCCGCTGCCCTGTGCCGTGCGGCTCTTCTGCTGCGCCCCCTGGCACCTGGCACCGCCGCCTGCCCCGCCGAGCTCTGCTTGCTTTCTACCTGTGCCCATGCTGCCGCTGCCTGCCTGCCTGCTGCTGCCTGCCCGGCGCAGGAGGGCAAGGTCACCTCCTTCACGGGAGGATACGTGATGGACAACAGGGTGGGGAACACCAAGTGAGTGTGGGCTGGCGCTGCTGAGCTTTCCGGTGCTGCTGCCGCACATACAATCGGCGCATGCCAGGCGTGCGAGGTGGCTGTGTGCGCCTGCTGCTGCGCGCCCCGCGGCCCACCCTTACCCTCGCATGCCGCCGCCGGTGCCAGCCCGCCCCTCGCGTCACCCCCCTGCCTGCCACCCGCGCGCGGCGCGCAGGGGCCTGGGCGCCGCCTTTGGCATCCTGGCTGCCTGCGGCGTGCGCATCCCCACCCCCAACTCTTTGGAGTGGGAGTTTGCGGTGAGGGTCAACGGACTGCTGCAGTGGGCCGACAAGACCTTTGGGAAACAGGGGTGAGGCGCGAGGCGCCCACGGGCGACACGCGGCTGCGAAGCAGAAGAGAGCGGCGGGGCGAGGAAGGCATGCCGCGCGCGGCTGGCAGCTGTGCTGCACCATGTGACTATGACATTGATGGATTCAAGACAGATGGAGCTGCCCCCTCCCCGCCCACACGAGCCGTGCCCCCGTTGATTTGATCTGAGCTGCTGCACTGCCCCATTCCGATGATACTGCTGCGCATTTCCTTCCCCTCAAGGCACCCCATGGTGCTAGTTTAATCACTACTTGTAATGATAATTCGCCTGCCGCATGGAGATGATGGTGGACCATGGAGGATGAATGGCAGGCAGGCACCTGCGGCACGGGGATGCTGCTCCCCCATGTGGGGCAAATGGCACAGAGGTTTACAATTGACGAGTGCTGCTGCTGCACCCACGGTAAATGTCGCACAGTGCGGCGTCGCACAACACAGCAGATCAGAGGGCGGTACAAGTCTCAGAAGAAAGAAATCTGTGGTCAAGTCTTTTTGTGCTGCGGAGGAGAGAAGGGAAAACAGGGGAGCCTGATTGCGGCTGGAGTAACGAGATGTCGGCAGAAAGCAGCCGTTGTATGCAGAACGTTTGGTGCATTGCGTGGTTGATAAAAAACAAAACTAGGGTGCCAACGTGTGCTGGGGCTGCCTTTGGCCGAGGCAGCATGGGCGGAGCGGTGAAGGGTGTGCTGTGGGGGGTATGGGGGGACCAGGGTAGCTGAGGAGAAGGGGGGCACAGTGCTGGGATGCGGCATGCAGCCAAAAGAAGGGCGGCTGGAAAAGAGAGCGCCTGTCGTGGCCGGCACCCGCACATTCGGGGGTGCGGCGGCGGCGCGGGTCATTGCTTGGGTTGGAAAAGAGAAGAAATTTGCTTGAATTGCTGGGTCTTGGAAACTATCAAAGGGAGGCCATCCATCAGACAGCCAGCTCCGGGGCAGAACGGAGGGTCAGCAGCCGGGTGCGCGTGGCGGCAGACGGTGCTGTGAAAATGTGAGCGGGGCCCGCGCCGGCGCGAGCGCACCAGCAATTTCAGCAGAAGGAGGCGAGCTTGGAGAGGAAGGGTGGAGAGGGGAGGGGGCCGGGGCGCTGACAGACAAAACAGAAGGCCCCATGTGACCTGTCGGTGACCTGGAAAGAGAGAAGAGAAAGAAAGGGCGAGAATGAAAGCTGGTCTGGTCAGAAGGAGAGAGCGGACGTGAAGGGATGTCAGGGGCAACCGGACTGGAGCGTGCGCACGCGTGTGTAGCGTACAGGGGGCGGCGTGGCGGGGCAAGACGGCGGCACCAGGTGCGAGGCGCTGCAGCCGGGCCGCCAGCCTCGCGCCGCCGGGCGGCGCGCAGCCTTGCTTGCCCTGCACGCAGGAAAGGGCGGCGTGCGCTCAGCGGCGGCATGGAGGCGCGCACGCCTGCTGCGCATGCACAGCGTGCGCGCCACCAGAGCCTCTCACAGGCCCGCCCCCTGCCAGCCGGCACGGCGCCGCACAGCACAGGACCGCCTCCCTCCTCCCTCCGAACCCTCATGCCCCACACTCACCCGCGCCACCAACCCCGCCCCTCACTGCCCGCCAGCATAGCTGCCGTTGGACGCGCGGTGCAGCAGCTGCGCCAGCAGCTCGTTGGCAGGCGCCGCGCCCACCGCCGCCGCGTCCTGCTGCTGCGCCGCGGCCGCGGCCGCGGCCGCCGCCGCCATGCGCTGCTGCTGCTGCAGCAGGCCCGCCAGCAGCGCGGAGTGCAGCTGGCTGCTGGGCGCAGGCGGCGGCGCGGACGCGGAGTCAAACACAGACTGGTGCTGCGGCTGGTGCTGCGGCTGGTGCTGGGGTGCCCCTGCCTGCGACATCATGTGCTGGCGCAGGCGGGCCAGGTGGGGGTTGCCCTCCATCAGGCCCTGCAGCCCCTGCGCCTGCTGGGGCACCGGCTGGGGCGGCGGCTGCGCGCGCGGCGCGGGCTGGGCGCCGCCGGCGGCCGCCTCACGCCCCTCCTGCGCCTGCCCAGCCTCCCGCCGCTCGGAGGCGTGCTGCGGGGCAGCCTCTGGCGCCGCCTGCGCCGCACCCTCCTCCTCCTCTTGCTTGGCCTCCGCCGCCGCCGCCGCCGGGGCCGGCTCCGAGCTGGCGCCGCCGCCGGCAGGCTCGGCTGCAGGAGCGGGCGCCGCAGGCTGCTCCTGCGGGGCAGAGGCAGGCGCTGGGGGGGCGCCCGCAGCAGCCGCCGCCGCCCCGTGCTGCGGCTCTGCCTGCGCAGCCGCCGCGGGCTGCTCCTGCCGGCCAGGGCCCTCCTGGAATCCCGCTGAGGCCTGCTCCCGCGCCGCCTCTGCCTGCTGCTGAGGTGGGGCTGCAGCCGCTGCCTCCTGCCCCTGCTCCGGCTGCGTCTGCGGCCCCTGCTGGCCCTGCCCCTGCTGCAGCTGCTGGAACTGCTGGCGCAGGCGGGCGAGCATGGGGTCCTGCAGGAGCCGCGCCAGCGCATCGCCGCCGCCGCCGCCGCCGCTGCCAGCCGCCGGCGGCTGCGGCGGCGGGCGGCCGCCACTCAGGAAGGCGTGCAGGGCGGCAGCGGCGTCGGCGGGCGGCACCTCAGCCGCCGCCG